CATAGTGGAAAGTGCCGCTGCTCACTGAGCTGGAAAGAAGCCCGCTATCTTTTCAGAAGGCGAAGCACCGAAAGCGTCAGGGAAGATCAGGAGGGGCCGGTAAATATTGAACAGAGACAACGCTCGCAATATCCTGTCTAATTATGCCGTGAATGAAAGCACAACCTAACGGCAAACCGCGATGATGTCAAATTTCGCTGAATCTAACCCCATTTCGGACTATTGACATGACCGCGGTTAGCATATACTTTCCTCGATACAATTCTTCCCGAACTGCGAGAGCTCTACAAGATTACCGGAAACGTGAATCTTCAGCAGTGCTCATATTCCATGTCCGTCAAAATTCCCGAGATTCGGAACTTTTTTGTACCAATTTCTCCCACTCCATGGCCGTCAAAAGTTCCGGGACTCATTGTGGATTTTTTCAAAAGTTCTGAGAAAGTTCCGGAAAATGCAAAAGATCCGGAAAATTTCGGGAATTTCAAAATTTCCGGGAATAATTCTAGAAAATCTCAAAAGTTCCGGATTTCGGAACAAGTTCCAGGAAATAGGATCAGCCAGTGAGCGCAGTCTGTATTAACTGAACAGGTAACGAACAAGCCTGTTCTTAACTGAAAAAAAATGAGAATTGACTTTTCGGAGGGAAGCGAGTGCTTTGAGGTAGGAAGGCATCTACCCGGACTGGTTGATAGGCAGAATTTTTAACACAAGACTACTTAAATGGATGAAGAATTAGTCCTTTCTCATAGATTAACCCTCAGATACCCAAACTGGATCGAATTGACCCGGGACCCTCTTGAGACATGTGCCCTCACGGGTTGCAATGGCGCCGTTACGTATGAGCTTCAGATATAGGTCTACAAATACACCGTGTAAAAAGGATTAGACATCGAATTGGAAAAGATAAAATCGAGTAAGAACACGACCGAAGATGAGAGAGACGTATTTGGGCCTTCTTTTCTAATTTTCCTCTGAACCTGAGCGACAGTGACACCTCATTGGCAGCATAGAGCGGTGCATAACGAGTTCACGCCTCGCGCCTCAGCGCCTTCAATTTTGGAGATGCGACACGGACATCCATCAAGCACGAATAGTTGTATCTCTGCGCCGTCATCAACGCGCTCCTTTCCCTTGCTCTACTCACATGCATTGTTGGTTCCGTTTGTCTCGTTTGAAGTGGTGTTTCAAGGGCTACATGAGGAACACAGCCAAAGATAGGAGAGACGTAATCGGGCCTCACTTTTTAATTTATCTTTAATAAATACGAGAGAATGACCTGTCAATTGCTGATATTGAAATGTTGGCATGATATGTGTAGTATGTAGGAATAACTTTTACATTGTACCAAACAAATTTAGCGTATAATCCTATTCATTGCCGAAGGTGGAACAATTTGCGGAGGGTGACCTGGCCCTCACTTTTCCAGGAGGGGTCTGGGTCTCTTTGCTACAAATGAGAGCTATCCTGAGGAAAAATTGTTTATATTGACTTCTCTCAGAGGTATTTTGAGGCTACTCTCACGAGAAATCCAGCCGTGTAAATAATTTAGATTCAAATCTGTAGGTAACCTTCGAAAAGCATCTTTTGTATTTTTAACGAATTTAAGCTTTTTTTCTTTTCTCCATCTCACTATGCAATGAGGCAGATACAAGTACCAATTTTAAGGCAACTTTTAAAAGTGCAAAATTTTAATGAGAATGAATGGGCAGATTATACATCATGGAGATTTTCTTCCCCCTGAAAATATGAGGCAATTTTTATAGATGCTGTCAACATATCAGAAATACTTAATTGCAACGACCGTATCAATGACGAAAGAAGTCCGGAATCGTCAATTTAAAGGCCGATTGAATTCAAAGGCTAATAAACGTTTAAGTGCGCTTCTAATGGTTTTTATCGTGTTTAACGAGTTTTTCCTTATCCATTAAAAACTATACGATCAAGAACAATGCATTTGAGTGATCGTGTGTTTCATCAGACAATATTCATTCTTGTAACTTTGAACAAAATAAGAAGTTCTGTATCGTATGAGAATCTTTGTATTCAAAGCAACCGAGTTAATTTTTTCTCGAGTATATGAATTTTGATGCCTTAATAAAGGAGGACTCGAAATAGTTGGAAGTAGTACAGAATTTGAGGGGTTATTTTCCGTTGGAGTGTGATCATGTTTCAAAACACGAAGACCGAACTTGAAAATGTTAGCGGCCAGCAACAAATAATGTTACTGAGAAGTACATTTTCAAGCATTTGCACGATAGCTATATACGAAAATCGCGCACCTCAATTACAACAGATGAAAATCTCAAATCAGGTTTTATTCTCTTCAAAGAAAATTAATCGAATGCGGGAACAAATTATATTTAAGGAGTAAAGTACTTTCAAAAGCTTTCATTTACCATGAGCACTCATAAAAAACAAACATTCAATCAGGATAATCCCTCAAAGTGTTTTAGATTAGAAGAGCTTAGTCGTTCAGAAAAATGAATGAATTAATAAATATATATGAATAAAATGAATAAATAGCACAGACTTGCTTTTAAAAAGGTGTGACCTAAATATCACCATAGCATAACAATTGAGTCCAATACCGCCGCACTAAGGCAGAACACTATTTGAACATTCACGTGTTGCCAAACTTAACGCGATGAAAAATTAGTTTTGAGGAGAGATATGTAAGTCTCCTTGAAATTTTTAGTTATTTTAGATTAAACTGCGAGCAATGCTCTAAAAAAGAAGAAAAATATTTTCAATTTTTCAAGCAAATTTTGTGTGTATCAAAGAAAATTTGGCAACATTCAAAGGCTTGTAAGGGGTTTTTATGGCACGGAAACATACCTGTGCAGATTTGTTGACCATGCCTATTTCAATCGTTAATCTTTCTAAATCTACGGCATCAACCCATCATCTCCCATCTCTAATGAATACATGAATCTGCAATGCACTTTTGAGGTTGAGTTCAATGAGTGAAAACAACAGCTAGGTCACTTAATTTTGGCCGCAGTGCCAAAGTATTCGTGAATTTACATCAGTCCTTTCTGGTTTCAAATTAGCTCATGAAATATGACAACGCTGGCGTGAATCATTGATAAAATGCTGCAACTTGACAACCACGCGTGCATCTACCGATCTGATTGAATAAACCGGTCATTATTCTGTGTAAAAGGAACTAATCGATGTGGAAATTGAGTGCGCCGTCCAATCCCCCCCACCCCACCCATTCCCACTGACGTTACAGGGATCATTATCAGCACGAATGCAGTTTACTTGTCACCGGTAAGCTTTCGCCTCCCTGCCCTTAACCTATCCCTTTGAATCGTAACAATAGATTTTATTGACATCGGAGCAAGAAAAGAGAAATTTAATTGTGAAGGTCAAGTTCCACACCGTCACACAACAGAAACGAGTCGTATTTGCGGTTCAGTTTTGATTGAAACTCTTCTTCAGAGGTAAAATACTTAGCCACTTCGACTTTATTTTTAAACAATTTCCAAGAACCTTTTGTAACTTATCCAATAGCACTCTTAATGCCTCGCAGAATTTTATTCCCTCTCCTTCTCTAATCCTCTTCTGCTCTTCCTCTTATCTGAATTCTTCTTTTTATTCTAATTCTTCTTTCTACGTCTCCTTTTACCCTTATTCTCCTGACTTTACCACTGCTTTTTAGAGTTATAGAAGTTAATTACAGTTGCAGATCCAACAAAAATCATAAAAATTGACGTGCTTCCATCTTCTTTCCTCCGTTCCTTCCTCCTTTCTTTCTTGCCCTCTTCCACCTCTTTTTTTGGGGCGAACGGGAAGGGCGCACGCCCCCTTACGCTCCCTCTTGGATCTGCCTATGTTTATGAACGCTGCCTCATTGTTGCTAGATAGTGCTGGGAAATCAGCACATTTCCTCGTTTGGATCGCATTTAGCAAAAATGAACCACCGTGATTACTATTTTCTACAAATGTTAAATCTCCATAATTATCTTAAGGATCTCTCAGAGTATGTTTTGGCTCACCGCCCACAAATCGTTAATTTCAAAGGAAAATAACTGTGTAAATTTTAATACCGTGCACACAATACGAATTTTCAAAAGGAAAGGAAAAATTTCATGATTTTGAAATCATTGTAAACGCGCTGGTTCCTTTTTGCTAAATGCGATCCATTCAAGGCCCATGTAAAATATCCACATTTTATCGTACAATCTGGCAACCTTGCGTTCCCTAATTTACGGACGGCCGCGGTGGAAAAAGGCTGAATTTTAAAAAAAGACGGAGATGTTACAATGGCGGGGCCGGGACGGGAGGTGGGGGACAGCGGCGCACACTGGATCGATTCAATAGAAGAGGTCGGACAAAATTTGGAAACTTTAAACACTTATAACTCCGTTTAGACAAATTTTTGAGGTTTTGCTTTTGAAAGTGGTTTCATTGGTTTCCTCGTGAAATTATCTTCAAGAGGCGCACGGAGCAAAAAACTTCGTGCATGGGACCCGAAGTTGAGGTCATATGGATCTCTGAAGCTTTCGGATCACATACCTAAAAACTTGAGGTCCAGCTGCCCAAGTTCGGGTCACACATCTGAGGTACTCCGGTACATACCGAAGTGCCTCGATATCTGACCCGAACTTCGGCAGCTGGACCTCAAGTTTTTAGATACGTGATCCGAAAACTTCAGAGATCCATATGACCTCAACTTCGGGTCCCACGCACGAAGTTTTTTACTCCATGCTTTAAAATTTAAAATGTGACGAAATAAACATACAAATTTGCAGTTTTAGTCAAAAAGTCATGTCCAACCTCTCTACTCGACTCGACCCACCGTGCGGCGGCGGTCCGTAATATCGCCGACGAAAAAGGCAGACCACGGTTACGGCCCTCGGCGGAATTGGAGCGTCGTCGGCGCGGCGCGGCGCCCACCTGTTCGGCGGACGGGCGCAGCAGCGCGGGAAGTATGGCGTGCGAGTGCAGGCGCTCATGCTGGTCTGGTGCAGTATAAAATTTTACAGGGAGCTTACCTTCGAATAAATTAATTTCCTGGGGCTCGTTATCCGGCTGCGCTGCTCCCACGCCGTGCTCGGGGTCCGGCTCCGCTCCCGGCGATCCCTTCGTCTTCTCGTTGATGACCGACTGAATCACTTCCTTGCTCGTGTTGCAGCCCATTCTCAGCTCATCCTCCCGGACCACGCTCAACCCCTGCCCGCGAGCCCCGAATCCCCCGAATCGATAACAAAGCCGAGGGCCACGCTCCAATCAGCGAAAACTCGAGCGATTCTTATAGAAGCAAATCTCGTTAAGCCGGTGCCACGATTTTGTGTGACTTCGACATTGGATGATGAAATGGATTCAACGCGGAACACGCTTAGGCACCTGCTGATGACTGTGACTTGTTTAAGTGTAGGTATAATCACATGTAGTTCATTTGATTTTTATGATTTTCGAATGATATTGCTCCTCCAGTTGAACGGAGATATTTTCAAAGCATTTTTAAAATTTTGCAAAATTCTTGATCAAATATTATTGATTGATAAAAGTTCTCTGACAGTATTTTGACGATATTTTTACAATTTTAGGGTTATTTTATCAAATTTTAAAAAAGTATTTGAAATAGATTATTTTAAATATTTAGATAATGATTTGAAAATGTTCAGCGATGGTTTAAAAATAAGCTGATAACCTACACGATCCAAGAATCGAAGAGGCGCACTAATTATTGAAAAAATAACTTTAAATAATCTGAACAGTACTTTCAAATTATGTTTGACTTATTCCTGATCCGGCTGAAGGCTTGTGAAGAACAACAGAAACTACACTTTCCTTAGCACATACCCGGAGGATTCTATCACCCCGATGGAAATTCACTCAAAGTGGGGTTTACAGAAAGCCTGGATACTTGGCGACACAGTTTTCGTAGGGCCTGACGTGGGTATTGGAACATGTGCAACGGAAACACGCGAATGCACTTTTTTATGAGCCAATTTAATATTCACTACCGTCACACGTGGTCCCTATGGCTTCTTGCAATTTTTAGTTAGAACTGAGTCCTTAAAATGCCTGACTATTGGGTCTCACAATCTGTGTCGTTTCATCGGTGGCTCAACTGGAAACACGCATGTTTTATGGATCAGTTCAATATTTACTACCATCGCACAGTATCCATAAGATATTTTTTACAGTTTTCACTTAAATTCGAGTCTTTGAAATATTCCAATTGAATCAGTTAAACGATTTTTCGCTGGATAAGATAGTCTCGCCACAAAAAATAAAACTTTTTTGATGGACCGGTTCCAAATTTTCCACCATCACTAATGAAAACAATTTTTAGTCCAAGGAGCTCAAGACCCGTGGCTTGAGCTTTTAAAGGCCATACTCTTATTACTAATTGGTTATTGTGGACCTCATTTGTCTAAATCCATGATCACTCCGTAAGAATTTCTACAGTTTTATTATTGAAAAACGCCAAGAAACATCTTAATTAACCTTTAAATAGCAGCTAATTCATGCTCAGCTTTTACTGTCATTTCAAACAACAGAAAGTTGGATTGACCCCTCACAATTCACGACGCGATTTCATGGACTGAGAACTTCAAAGGGCCTCGCCAAAATTAAATCTCTCCACTCGACAATGCCTGGAAGACAGATCGGACCCACGCAGAAATTGTCCAAGAGCAGGATTCTGAAACATTTAATTCATTAAATTAATTATCTTTCTGTTTGTTTACTTGCTTCGTATTTTCATCTTCATTTTTCATCTGCGTGCATAGTTTTTTGTCAGTGCTGAGATTTGAGACTTACTTTTTTAAATTATTCCAGCTCTTCTTTTTCCCGTTTTGCACCGGAGCACCGGTATCAGAGACAATACTCATATTTTTCAGATTCTGCAGTAACAATCTATGGGTGAGGCATAAGTTAAATTCGGAGGTTAGTGCTAGTTTTTGCACAATGATGATTGATGAACGACTCTTTATTAGCATAAAATGAACTAAATGATGACTGATATAAATGTCGAGTTAAGGACTTTGCTGAGCGAGTTTTTGCTCATTAAAAGAGGATCGCTGAAGTGATCTTTCAACTCTTTTGTTATCAATTCCTATGAGACAAAGCTGAGAGTTAACCTCCGAAAGTAACTTTTACACTATAAAAAATGATAGCTGCCGGTTTCTAAAAATAAATTGTTTCTGACCAGTATACCTCAAAAGACAGCTCGTGCATTGCAAAAACTGCATTTGGTGTTCTACGCACTTAACTTTAAATAGATTCAGCGCATAGTTCCATGTGATGAGTTGATCTTGTAAAGATACAAATTAATTAGGGGAAGATTAATATTTTTGGACTAAATTTTGCAATATGGCAATACTGTCTCTGACTCAATTTGAAAACGACGTATGTTCCTTTAGTTTCTTTATGCAAATAAGTGTTTTTTATGTATGAACCAGAAATTTCAGTTCTTTTCTGCGAAATGTGGTCCATTCAATAGTTCCTGAATTGTCATAATCGGCTGAAGTTACTAAAGAATAAACTAGATCTTTTTAATACAACTGGAATTATTCTTGAGAGCTGGAATTCTTTTATAGAAGATTTCCGTAAAAGTTCCCTCTGAGTCTGAAATAAATTTTTCTCATTCCCGGTAGATTGTTCTGTGATAAATTCTCCATAATATTCACAAATCCTTCCGACTCGAGTCGAAGAACGGTGCAGAATGCGTAGTTAGTGGAGCGGACTCCAGATGCTTTATAATTCCGTGCATCGCGATACGAGAGAGGTGGGTCTTAAATGTCACGGGAAACAAAATTCATTGTTCCTAACCTTTTACGTTGGTCCTCGTTCGTAAGAAGAATACCTGCTCGCGCTCACAGTGACGTCATGAGAACGTACGGAGCGACGTTCAGGAGATAGCTTCTCCCTGACGTAGACAAAATAAACGGCTTGCCTAAAAAGAAACAAAAAGGCGCAATTGCCACGGGGAAATACTAAAGGACTCGGTGTAAAAAACCGTACGTCCATAACAGTGTTTCAGAATCTTTACGAACGATTTCTTTTTTTGTAAGAGGAAAATATCGGATCATTAAATTTGAGATTTGCTGTAAGGATCGTAATTTAATATAGGGGTACTTCCTTCATCCCTCATCCCCATATCTCTACATACCTCCAACAATGGTTACTACAAGTTACTTATTTTAGTTATTTTTTTTCGGTCAGATAAACAAAAAGGGCTCAGTCGATCGACCAAATTTTTGGTCAAATCGACGAAAATCGCAGTTTAGTCTAAGGCACCTGGGGGTGAAGACAGTGTCCTGTAGAAACAATTTACTCTGGTTTCTTTCGAAATCATTAGGAGTTTACAACTTGCGAGTGGCTAACACATTGGACCATCACTTAATATATGCAACCCAGCAGGCTGATTGTTGAAATTTTGTTGACTGGTTAAGTCAAGATTAAGGAGAATGGAGCTATGTGATTGGTCGGTGCTCTGAGTTGTGCGTCTTGTCGTACCGATAACGGATGGATTTGAGTAGGATAGAATTTGAAAGGACGGGTAGAGTATCAGCAACTCAAGAGGCTCCTGAAACTTCCCGTTGATTACACCCTTTATGAGTATGACGAAACGCACAACTCAAAGCGCCAACCAATCACAAGACTCCATTTTCTTTAATCCCGTCTTACACGGTCGATAAACACAAAATTTAAACAACCAAGCTGCAGGTTCGATCTCAGCCCCTTACGCCTGATTATTAACGAGGTTGCAAATTTCCTATCGAAATATTTTATCCATATAACCCAAAGTTTTGGTCGATGAAATCCAAAGGAAAACTAACCAACAATTCTTAACTGTACGTTTAGACTACTTTTTGTTCTACTTTCCATAATAACATAAAGTGGACCGCGTTAAGCAGAAAGGAACCAAGTCACATCAGCAATTGTAACTGGGCAATTTAATTTTTTACATGAAAACGGTTGTGCAGATTTTTTTGCAAATTTCAGTGAATTTCCTATGTAGCACGAAGAAAATTCCTTAAAATTGTCAAACACGTCCGCACAAACGTTGACTTGTAAAAAATTAAACTGTCCACTTAAATTTGGCAAAAGCTAATGTCGCTTGGTTCCTTCCTGCTAAACGCGGTTCAAATGTTGGTTTCTCACATAGAGAAAAAAAAGAAGATGTTTGCATCTTGAGGTTTGTTTACCCTGTGACGTAGGTCGGTACAACCTGGCCAGCAAAATCCGAAATTCGAAGTATGAAAAACGGACCATAATGTCCCATTTTTTTTTGTGCTTAAATCAACTCATGATATAATTTCAAGCACTTTTTATAGAATAACTTTTTCCCACAAATTACACCATATCCAAGAAAATCGATGATAAAAGTCGCTGTACCGACCTACGTCATCAAAAAAATTCCAAGATGCCTGAAATGCAAACACCTCCTTTTTTTTCACTATGGGTTTCTCACTGTACAGGCATTTTGCCAGATAAAGATTAAAATGCTCGATTTTTACAACAACACGTTGGTTTATTTCTTCCTTTAAACGCAATGTAAATATCGTTAATTCGAAACAAAACGCACCCAGGAAGTCAAGAAATCGTTTGTATGCGCTCCTCATGTTCCCCAGAACTGTTGATTCTACGCGGTCACGGCGTTTTCCCCGGAGCCTCATCAATTTCCGAATCAATTACAGGACCAAGGACGAGAGTCGTAGTTGCTGGCGAACTAACCGCGTTTTGTCGACCAGTCTCGCTCACACCTCCCCCTGCCAAGCCCCCCGGAGCCCCCCGGAGCCCCCCTCTTACACGCTCCCCCCGTGTTCCACCAAATCATTCGGAGGAAGAGTAAAGATGTGTCAAACACAGCACCGAACGCTCGTTAATTTGCGCACCCAACGCTTAAATGTTGACTGAGAAAATCGATCACACCCCTTTTTGGCCCGTATGAATACCTCAGCGCCATCTCTCGGCGAGGTTGTGACGTCTGGCTTCGGAATTCTATGAATTTATCTAGATTACCTACGTAGGGAGAAAATGGACAGCTCGAAATATGCACCTCTTGCTCTTAGGGCCCGAAAGGGTAGGTAACCTTTGAAAACGAAAAATGTCACTGTCAATCTTTAGACTCCAATATCAAACGAAAACGGACGAGAAATTCATAAGTAAGCATTCCTCCGCAAAAATGAGTAAGTTTATGCAAAAACCAAGTCAAATACGTGCTTTACCAACG